CAACTTATCAGGATGAATCAGTGCTATAAGATAGCAACTTATCAGGATGAATCAGTGCTCTATGATAGCAACTTATCAGGATGAATCAGTGCTCTATGATAGCAACTTATCAGGATGAATCAGTCCTATCAGATTAATCAAGATATTCTTTATTTCATTCAAACTATTTCTATTGATTTTTCAGCTTTCTTCGAATTGCAAAATATTTCTTGACTTCTTACATTTAAGAGTATTTCCATTATTTGCAGAAAAATGGAAAGCTTGCAAGATAGTTGTGTTTACAATAACAAGCCAATATTTTCTGTAAGAAGTAAAAGCAAGCGAGTATTAAAAAGAAAAAAAAGGATTTAGTGAAAAGGCTTACTAATAAAGATTTTAACTCAACTACTCCACTTTTGAAATTCTGTATACCTAGACCTTTCTAAAGAATGTCACCTCGTCAGTTATAAATTCTACTAATTACATGGAAGAGTAGGTCAGCCTCAGCATGATAGTTACTCAATCCCAGTCATGTTGAGTAAACTTAAATGCAATAACAAAACTGTGTTTGTGTTTTACAAGGCACATAGCTACTTGTATCCTAATACACACAAAATTCACAGTTTTTACATCAAAAAGTCAATAATACTAGGAGAAGACAAAAATATATAAATACTGTATGTAAATGTATATGCACACACATGTACACAATGTATATATCTATATATATATAGTGTTTTTGTTGTACTCTGACAATATTTAAAGATTTCATAGAGCAACAATTGTTTTATACAAACACTGAATTATACACGTAACAATACTTATGTTACTGTTTTTGACTTTAATACAAAATACACTAAATTTTGACAGAACTTAGAGAGTTTGGTTAATTCATAATTAAGTCAAATATGCTTTAAATGTCTCATTTTTATGACACAGTGGACATCAATCTCTTTTCAGCATACTTTAAACAAAACCAAAGAAGTTAAAACACCACAATGTTAAACAAATTATTTTGTCCCAGAGAAATGTGGACTAAAGATATCCATGTGACAAGTGTAACAATATTTGAGTAAGGTTCTGGTAACTTGTGCAATCAAAACACTATTAATGCACATATGTTACATTACTTTTAACTTTCTTGTCTTTTAGCTCGTTAGACTAATACATTTCGTTATCTAAATCATTTTTCACACATACGAGAAAGAAAGAGACTATTCTAATCAATCTTTCTCCAGTCATCATACAAACCATAAAAACAAAACTCTTGAATATCAATGAGTATAAATAGCCTAAGAATTCTAAATGTTACTGTGGAGAATTTTGTAAGTTTATTAATTTACACCCTTTTCTGTATCAACAATAAATGAAAGGAACACAAAGGAAACTTATGACCTGTGAAACATAGGAACATAAAATCTGTTGGCATGTGTATATAATGAAGCTATGTTAGAGGATGTTTATTCTACATTTCTGGCAACTGCTTTGAGTTTCTGAACCTGATAAAACATACTTAGAAGTAACTTTATCAAACTGTTCACTTGATTTGAAATATTCTGATATTCATTGCTGATTTTCACTCTTAAAAGCATATCTTTTTACAATATATATATATATATATATATATTTCATGTTATTATAACCCCTGAAATTCCAATAATGGGACCAAATAAATTCTTTTAAATACAACTAAATCACAGAAACAATGGTCAAAAGAATCATTCAGTCAAATCTCTGCCATCTAAATTTGGCACTGGAAGTTGTAGAAGTGGAGCTCAAAGATACCTCTGAGTTTGTGGAAGTTACATTGGAAGTTTTATAGTCAGTATTTAAAGGTAAACCTGGACCAGGCCAATTTACAAGGTCAGCAAACAGTTCTCCTGATTGAGACATTGATGAGGTTGTGGTGGAGTAATCTCCCGACAATGCTGGAAGGTGAAAGACTGCCAAATTCTTCAAAGCATCCGTGTTTGACATAGTATCTGATGGTATATCAACATGTCTGGACCAGCCAGAGGTTGTTGATGTTACAGTTTCTCCTGGTACCGAGACAGGTGGATGAATATTGTAACTAGGAGGAGGTGGGGTGGGAAAAGGTTGGACAAAAGGATTGAAACGTTCTGGAATGGGATATCCATGATAACTTAGGGGAGGAAGAACTTGAGGTTGGCTAACAATTCTTGGTTGTACAAAACACTGACTATAAACAGGATTGCTCTGTACTGTTATGGGGACTGTTACAGAACAAGCACCTCTATTAGAATTTAGTGTGCTTTTTAATTCTTGAATAAAGACTTGGTTTGGTTTAGCCTGTGACAACAGTTGGAAATCCTCTAGTGATGAGACCTTATTCTGTTGTTTAATCAGTAATGGGTCAAAAATTTCAGCATCATCCAGTTCTTCCAGACAAATCAGGGGCGGTTCATTATGCTCAACTTCTTTAGATGATGTTGCTGTTAAAAAACTTCTGTTACAGGATGTTTGAACTGTCTTACGCTTTGTTCTGGGAGGAGGTAAAGGAGCTGGAAGTCTTGGAGTAAGTCTTAAAACTTCTGAGGAGTTAAGTTTCACAGGGGATGCAGGTAGGCTTTTCTGGGGTTTGAGCTGAAAAAACATGTGAACATTTTATTATATTTATGTACTTTATAAACTATAGATAAATAACATTGTCACAGACAAGAAAAAAAAAACCTTTAAGATGCCAAAAACTAGCCATACATTGGAAACCAACATTTGTGATAAAAATCATGTAAACTGCAATGTATATTTTTTTGCCAAATTTTTCCATTTTTTTTATCTCAAAGTTTTCATCATACAGCCCAAAAAGAGTTCTGGTATTGAACAAAATGCTCCTTGGCCAGTGACTTGCTGGGAACAAAAGAGACCTAAAATGCTATTATTACACATCTCTGATTTGGAGTCTAAAACAGACAAATTAGGAGGAATGTGGGGAAAAATATGTACATGTTGCATGATTTTTATCAGAAATATTAGGCATAATTGGTTTCCAATGCGTTGCCAGTTTACGACATTTAAACCAGAACTTTTAAAATCTTATACTGCTTATATAAATAGCATTTCAGAAATACTTCTATTTCTCGTCATCCACCCCAACTGAAGAGTTTTGGTACTGTGTGAAAGTACTCTTGGGCAGTGACTTGTGGGAGACAAAAGACTGATCTGATAATACTATTTTTACACACCTCTGCTTTGGAATTGACAAATTATTACACACAAAAATACTTTACCAACGATACCAGGGAACATTTCTGATGGAAGAAATAACTAATATACAAGAAGATTTATCTGATGTTGCAGCCCAGTTTTATGAATACCATATTGGAACTATTCACACTATCAAAATCCAACACTTGTTTTAATGACCATTTTTTTAGTATTTCTAACTAGTGAGAGATGTACTTTTCTTAAAATGTCTAACCTAGATAAATATAACATTTAACAAAATAAAGAGTACGAACACATCAAGAAACTATACACTGCATGCACAAAGTCTATTTGGAGAGGGACATGAAAATTAAAATATAATACTTTTAAAACAACATGAATGATTTTAGATTTTTAATGTAGAGACAGTCAATTAGAAAACTCAAGTTATGGAAGACTTTCCCCCAAAACCCTAAACTCAGGTATGAATAATTAAGAATTTACAACATAATTCTCAACATCTTTTGTTCTCATTTTCCTAATTGTTTCAAAATGATACAAGCAATTTAAAAACATGAATTATCATCACCACTGATAAAGTGGTTCAAACATTTATACATATATTTTTGTTATTAAAAAACTTAAAATTTATATGGTACATCAAACCCACCTACACATACAATTAATATTTGCTTTTTCCTTTACAGAAACTGTCAAGTTTAATTTTTTTAAATAAACAAATAACAGACTGACATTTCTTCCAGAACTGGATTGTTCTGGGAAAAAAAAATGTCTGTTCATTATAATTTGCAAATAATCTCCATGATTTACCATTCAAAACATCAATAACGATTAGTTGAGCATGAGGTCTTATAGTCAACCACAGCTTAAAAACCTGTTTGGAATTAGTCCACAACTTACCGACCGATCAACTGGAGGTGGTTTTGCAGCAGGGGACTGCTCGGGTGGGTTTAAAGAAAAACGCTGGAATAACAAATCCTGTAGTTCACCCATGAAGTCCATGTTGATTGGCTGAAAGCTCAGGTTGGAAGTGGATTCTTCATCAGATAACAAACCATTATCATCATCTTTCGTTAGCTCATCTACACTCAATAAGTTGTACTGTCTGGTTCTGTAATTCATTAAACATTTGTTAAAAGATGGCAATATACATTAACAAGTTTTATTTTTATGTCCTTGAAAGAGAGTTTTGTGCTTTTCTAATAGCAACCAATAATATAATTTACTTCCAATATGTAAAACACAACTAATTACATTAACATAAGTAATTACCATCTTTATATGTAAAATAGACTTATTACAAAATAAATCAATTTTTAACATGAAAGAAATCACGTGACATTCATTAACCTGTTTAATAATAAAAATTGCATCTTGATAGATACCGTAACAGTTGTTTTACATGTTACAATAAACAGCCTCAATCCAAAAGTTACTGAATATTAAAGTTTCAAGATTGAAGAAACTTTGCTCACTTGTCTCATATTTTGGCTTCTTTATGTTAAACATTCATCATTTGGCATTTGCAAAACATTTTTTGTTTTAGTGAAAGCAAAATGGTTTCCATTCATCATTGTTGCTAATGGAAAAAAATACTTAGAAAATGAACACTGTGGATATTGATCATTCAGTCAATTTCACACAGACTATAGCTGTATCATAATTACAATGTGCAAAAATATGCTACATCAACAGCATTGTTACACTTGGTGAATCAGGATAGACACTTAGTGCATATGAATCTGCCACTGTGTATCAAATACAATAACCTAAATGGCACCAAACAAAACCTTGAGGAAGAACAACTTACATCATATTTGGGCTGTACCATAATTTAAGCATCATGGGACAAACCACAAAAGGCCACAATGTTCTTAGACACCAGAAACATTTGGGTTTCTAGATTTTCTGTTGTGTAATCCAAGCACATTTTCCTATATAATGTGGATTTTAATGTTTAATGCTTACACAAAGATCTTCCAACTGTGTTTGTACATCTTAACTGTTTTAATGTTGCCTTCTAGTATGGATAGGACCATTTTCTATGTACAGCGTGTGCCATTCATTTGAGAGGAAGAAGGAGGGCTATTAGAATTTGTAATGTTCCAAAACTATATATAAGGAATGATTTTTGCACTTGTACATTTCAATTGTACTTACAGTAGAAAAAAATGTAATTAAAATTCATTATCTATCAACAAGTTGTGGCCTTTGATTTTCTATTTTTTGCCACTATGCTGTACAATGAGGTTTAAAATACAAGTCCCCAATTCCATATTAGCACCTTTTTTTTTCTACTACCAAGAATGGCAGGTGGCTCATGTTCATAAATATATTTACACATCCACATAAATCAAGCACTCACAATTGATCTTTCCCATAGTACAATAGTGTTACATTGGAAAAAAACCTGCCTTCATGATGATAGTGAACACAAATGTTCCAGGGCACTTGTGACACACGGAAACATTGATCAACTTATATGGAACTAGTTGTAATATATCAAAGATTTAACTGACAATAGTGTTATATTGGAAAAAAACCTGCCTTCATGATGATGATGAATACAAATGTTCCAGGGCACTTGTGACACACGGAAACATTGATCAACTTATATGGAACTAGTTGTAATATATCAAAGATTTAACTGACATACATTACACATGCTTATGCACAATATGATTGTAGGGTCATTAATATTAAAACATTCACCACTAATGACTAACCACTCAAGTCACGTGAACTGAGATTTCTGCAGTGGTTTGTTTTGGTTACCATTATAACTACAAGATGGCATGGTTGCACAGATGTTTCAGTCTGAGTGAAGCTGTGAGTATTTTACAAGAATCTGATCCAGAATCTTTTGAGGAGGACAATATAGATAGGGATAGTAATTATGAGCCTAGTGATTTTGAGTTTGAGGATTAAAGAGGCCTGGATTGTACCGACCAGGTAAACATTCAAGCTGATTTGTTCGTAGCTTACACTGCCAATCGAGACACTGACACTGGAAGACTGTCCAGGCTACATGTGTTAGTCCAACTGATATTTCTTTTACTATACAGCCTCAAGTGGTTGCAGGTTTGCTGCCTTTCCAGTTGATATTTTCAAACTGTTTGTGATGAAGGATGTTGTGTACATGATGGTTGCAGAAATAAACAGGTTTACTGAACAGTTATTGGAACTGAACTGCCTGTTTCTGATGATACAAGTAAACAATGGAAGTCACTGTACATTACTGGCTTAATGCATACGTTTAAATTGCTGCAATGGCAAATGTGTTAATAAATCAGTGAAGTCAGACTTATGACACTTTATTTTTCTCAACCAAACTATTTCTTCCTTTTTGTATCTGGAATTCAGTAAAACATCCTAGGCAAAATTAAATCCATAGAATTCTGCAAATTTCCAGAAAAAGCTCATGTCTTAAGAATGCATTTACAGAATCTTGTAATTAAGTTATGTCAACAATAATTTTTACATGTCATTATATGAATAAATGATAAACATGTTCAATGTACTTTTTGAAGATATATTATTGACTATTTGAAAAACATTATAGCACCTTATTCTGCAAATAGTTCCAAAATTGATAGTGCCCATGGCAACAGCATGTCAATGATTAACCATTGCGTCTGTTAACTAGCGCAGGTTAGCCATTGCGTCTGTTAACTAGCACAGGTTAGCCACTGCGTCTGTTAACTAGCACAGGTTAGCCATTGCGTCTGTTAACTAGCATAGCTTAACCATTGCGTCTGTTAACTAGCATAGCTTAACCATTGCATCTGTTAACTAGCATAGCTTAACCATTGCGTCTGTTAACTAGCATAGCTTACCATTGCGTCTGTTAACTAGCATAGCTTAACCATTGCGTCTGTTAACTAGCATAGCTTAACCATTGCGTCTGTTAACTAGCACAGCTTAACCATTGCGTCTGTTAACTAGCATAGCTTAACCATTGCGTCTGTTAACTAGCATAGCTTAACCATTGCGTCTGTTAACTAGCATAGCTTAACCATTGCATCTGTTAACTAGCATAGCTTAACCATTGCATCTGTTAACTAGCATAAACGAAAGCTGTAGGTCAGTCTGATGTATATATATATATATCTTTTGAAATACATTTTTGGATAGAATTTAAAAACATTATGGGTGACATTTTACTTTTTGACTATAACTACCACATTTAAACTAGATGCTGCTTTACTAGCAGAAATTATATATCACATAAAAAACAAATGTTCCTGATATAAACAACACATGTACCATACATTTTACAATCTCAATAGATACATCATAAAGTTACTTTCCAACCCACAGTTCAGTCTACATGATTCTGAAAAAATAAATTACTAGCAATAAAAGTGTCATGGAATTCATAAAGTGTTTGTTTAAAGGAAATTATGACAAAACTATAGAACCAGTTACAGTAAATGATATTGACATACCTGGAAATCAAAGCTATGTCATCAACTTAGGTATATATGAAAATAATGCCATTGCATCGATAAAACAACCAAAATAAGTTAAATGATTTTTTTTTCCCATGTGAAAGTTTTTCTCCATTAATAAGTGTATGTTAATCAGTTTATTAAGAGTTAAAAGCAAACAGGCTGTTTCATTTTGTTTGGTGACTGGAAGGTTAATCCATAATTGGTCACTATTTTTATTGTGATAATTCCATATTTCACTTCTTTATTCTGCCTGTAATGCATGGCACACCATTTCTGATCACTGAACTCAACTGCTAATTTCCTGTCACTAGCTAAACCTGACTACTTGATTTTAATAGTCAAACCTGAATGCTGCTTCTTTATTTCCTATGCCTTAGAATTATCAAAGAAATTTGCAAAATTTAAATACTTTATTTAGGATCTCAATAAAACTGTATAGGTTTTTTTTTTATAGTGTACTTGCTGAAGAAATAAGTTCCATTAAGGTTTTTATCAACTCCTTACTAAAATCAAATAACTGAGTCAAAAATCTCTCTCAAAAGCCTAACTTGCTTATATGACCAACAAGAAACATTTAAAAGAATAATTCTTAAGCTCTACATACAATTCAGTTGCTTCATGTAGACACTATGTATAAATTTAAGCACGTTACTTGAGTTAAAACAAAAGATGATATTCTGCCCATATTTACAGGACTTTTCATGTGTCAGTTTCAATATGTATATTGTGATAAAAAAATATTTATATCACACCACTTTTTTCTGTTTATATATGTGTGTGTTTATATTAGGACTATAATGGACTGAGCTCAACTCTTATTCATGTTATGCTAGAACTAATTATGCTAATATTGGATAACATTATCCAATCAGAACATTACTATGGTCCCAAAACCAAGTTGAGTGTCCTCTAATCCTAATACATATACCAGTACTTTAACGTATCAAGTAAGGTGATAATAATCCCATCATACACCATGCCATTGAAACAAACAAGTGAGGCGATAATAATCCCATCATACACCATGCCATTGAAACAAACAAGTGAGGTGATAATAATCCCATCATACACCATGCCATTGAAACAAACAAGTGAGGTGATAATAATCCCATTATACACCATGCCATTGAAACAAACAAGTGAGGTGATAATAATCCCATTATACACCATGCCATTGAAACAAACAAGTGAGGTGATAATAATCCCATTATACACCATGCCATTGAAACAAACAAGTGAGGTGATAATAATCACATCATTTTTTACACTATCACAGAAATACTTGTTAAATGTGAATACAATTACAATAGTTACCTAGATTCATGAATTTCACAGAAGTCTTCATCCTCCTTTGAGTCTGCACTTGTTGGCTTTACATAATTTATCACCTATGGAAAATAGCACAGAATTCTTCAACATTTAATTATTATCTCATAAAACTTCCAGGTAAACACTTTTTAATTTATGGGAGTACTATTAACCTATAAATAGATTTTTCAAGACAACAAAATACCATATATTATTAAAGTATGTATACATTACCTGTCTGTTAGCCACATATATTGCCTATTAAAACAGTTCAAGGTATTCTTTGGTAGATTGGTTAGACAGAATATTCATGATGAGTATACTGGAATGGATGGCAACTGAAGACAAAAGACTTTCAAACTGTTATCCTCTTCACTTGTATTTTCTACAACAGCCAGTTGCCATCCATTCCAGTATACTCATCAGTTCAAGGTATTATGATGTATATATATAATACAGTAATAAGTTCAACGCGAGTAAAAAAATAGGAAACAAAACACACACTTTTCTCCTGTGTTAAAAATGGTAATGAATAAACCTCCAAGCTTTGCTTAGAGATAACTTTGCATGTTACTAATTTTTCTGATTTTGAATTCCAGTATCTATCTTTCTCTGGAATAAAACAATGATTTGCTCCAATTCTTGCAAGGAACATTTTATTAACAGTGACAACAGAACTGAACTACCAAGTAAATCTGGCATACTCAGGAACTAGAAAATACTAATACAAACAGAGATAGTTTCCAATTACTGAAAATCCTGATAATGAGAATAAATATGTATCTAAACTTTACTTTATTCATTAGCAAACAACATATTAAGGAATGAATCTTTGTACACTAAGTACAGTAAATGTTTGAGAATTAAACCTATTAATTAATTAATTAATTGCTGCCTTTTCTCTAAATTACAACAATTTTCCAAAGACAAACATTTGTATGGTTTCTTACCTTGCCGTTCTTTGTCTTAGGAGATCGTGTGATTCGAGATGCTATGGGACTAGATGGTGCACTTTTTGCTAAAGACTCTCTCTTGATGGGCATACTAACTTCCTATTAATGATATAAAACTTCTTTATGCTATACAGTTTTTTTTCATGTCTGTTTTGAAAAATAAAAAAATTCTTAAAATAAAAGTATTTATTCCAATACAGTTTTTCATAATTTTGCTCTGCATCTCAAAATATTTTTTGGTGATATATTTAAACAAGAGAGATACCTACAAATTTGTATCGATAAATTAACCCTCTGGCAACAAGTAGGTCAAAGTGCACATGTCATGACCTTTTACAGTTACATTTAAAATTTAGTTAAACTACTTTATTATCAAAACATAGCTAATAAATCAAATTTTCATATACGTTTTACAATTTTATAAAGAAATATTTTTAAAAAATCCTCAATCTCCCCTAGTATGAGAATTGTGACATTTCTTATATATATATATATATATTATACTAATGCAAAGTCTAACTTTTATATCCTTCATTCATATTTGTTTAAGGAGTTATAAACTAAAAAATGAGACCCACTTGTTAATTCCTCTCTTTCACAAATTGCCAATAATTCTCTCTGACACTTTATACTACATCATTTACAACTAATAAAAAAGTCAAAGTTTTAATCTATCAACTGACTTATAATGTTATGTTGTTTCCAGTACAGAGTATTGTCATTTTGGCCTCCTGTGAGAACATTTTTCTCACAGGAATCACATCGACAAGCTTAGCTAAAGTTTTAAAGGCTCTTATTGCATAGTTAGAAAGCCAGAAAAATTATGATAGTTTGTTCTGTGTATATTATATTATGTGTTCTTAGTTGCACTATTTTATTAAATAAAAAATTATTTAGTGTAGTACTACCATTAGTATAAAAAAGTAGGTTTAAGTTTCATCAACAATAAATTCATAAAATTTTACAGAGACAAAAAGGATCATATTAGCTCATCTAGGATGTTCCTTCCAGCTTCCATCTGTAACCGCCCCTCACTACTAATGTATTCATACAATATTTTCTTGAAAAACAGTTAAATTTTCTACCTCCACCACCCTTGAAGGCGGCTTATTCCAAAAGCCAACTACCCTGTTTGAAAAGTAATACTGTCTAAACTGCAGATGACTCCTATGCTGCCAAAATTTGAGTTTATGACTCTTTGTCCTATTGTTTTCACTTCTAAACACAAAAAGTTTGATGGATCTATATTATCAATACCCTTAATCGTAAACACCTCAATCAGATCCTCTCTGATCCTTCTCCTCTCCAGAGGAAATAAGTTTAGAGATTTTAATCTCTTCTTATAGGACAATCCACCATCCCAGGTATCATCCTAGTGGCTCTTCTCTGAACTTTTTCCAACAATTCAATGTCCTTCTTGAGGAAGGAAGCCCAAAACTGTACACAGTACTCTAAATGAGACCTTACAAGTGATCTATACAGTGAAACAATAATATCCCTTGTCTTGTCTTCAATATTTCTATAGATGTTATCCAAAATCCTATTAGTCCTATTGCTAGCTACAATACACTGTTTAGATGACTTAAGTGATTTTTCAGTCACAACACCAAGATCTTTTTCTTCAACCACAGTATTTAATGTATTCCCATTTAAATCATAACAAAACATTTGAATTGTGAAAAACTACATGCATCACCTTACATTTTGGATAGTTAAACATCATCTGCTACGTACTGGCCCAATGCATCAAATGATCTAAATCTCTCTGTAAGTCTGTAGCATCTTTGCTACAGTTAGCCATCCCAAAAATCTTAATGTCATATGCAAACTTCAATATTTTGTTAGTCGTTCCAGAGTCAATATCGTTAATATAAATCACAAACAGCAAAGGACCCAGCACTGAGCCCTGAGGCACACTGCTTGTAACTGTGATTCAATCAACAGCAAAATAAGGGGGATCCAGGTAAGTACTAATTTTTTGTTTTTCATGTAAATTTTTACTTACTGTAATAAAAGTAACTAAAATGTAAGAATTGTAAAATGTAACTTATTACGTTTGATAAAGTTAGTTTAGGTAAGATAATGAAAATAATAATAATGTTACATCATTCAACATGATAAAATGAGCTATTCATTTGAGGAGTGACTTGTGAGTTGAGATTATTAGTTAGACACAGTTCAAAGGGCAATAAAACAATAAAATTAAGTACAAACATCTGTAGAGTGTTATGAGGCTTAAGCCATTGAGGATAATCAATTGTAGTTTTTGGTTACAGTCTGTATTCATTCTAGGAAGAAAAAGGGTAATTTACGTTTATTTCATATATCTTTATGGTGGTTACAAGGTTGGACAAATCAACTGAATCCATATAGAGTTAGGGTAGAGAAAATAACAGATAAAATTTAAAGTTTTACTCAAAAAACATTTAATAGTTATTCAGGAGGTTTTAAGAGGTTATGCAAATGAAACTTGAAAACTTTGAGATGAAGAAAAGTTTTTTGATCTTAACATGATATTCACTTTGTGTGCTAAGCAGTCAACACTGACTCCATATACTCACAGACATATCTTTAGTAAAAATACTTGATTAAAAAATCTGATTTTTGGGTACAAAAAACTTGTACTGTTACTGAAAACTTGCCAATTTTCATGAAATATATATTAATCGATCCTGAATGGAAAAGTTAATAAAAAGATAGTAAATAATTATGCATGAATATAGGTATAAAAATACATGCAAGCTAAATACAAGAATTTTTTAAACGTCATAAAAGAAAAACACCAATGTATAAAATATAGTTTCCCTAAAAATGAAATAACAAGGAAGTTCTTATCAGTAACATCAAAAAGTTAAAACAATTGGAATAAAAACAAAATTACTGTACTGAGCTTCATAAAAATTAGAGAAAAAAAAAGTATCACACCTTTTGCTGCTGAATATCCTGTAATTTCAGTCGTAAGTCTTTATAGGCTCGTTTGCTTTTGTCTTTCACCTTGAGTAAAGAAAACATTTTTTTTTAAATAAATCAGTAGTTAATGTACAAATAAAGAAACCAATCACTTATAAGAATGTGGGTCATCACATGTACAGCAATAACAACAATTAAAAATAGCCTATATTTTACCAAATAACTTGTGTCAAAACTACAAGTATGAATGACAAATGTTAATATTTGCTGAAGAAAGAAATCAAAACTAAACCCATATATTGACAAAATTATAGACTTCAAAATCTATAAAACATACATAGATTTCTTTGAGTTTATTCACTCAACAAAATAAGACCAAATATGCTCCCTCCTGTGCCAACCTTTTTTTAAAACCATTTTAGTCTTATGAAATCTTATTCTCAATCTTATGTTTAACCCTATCACCCTGAGTATCCTTTACTGCACGACACAAGGTTTTAGCGTCTACATTCAAAATTATATTAAACTACTTTTTATTTATGTTATACCTAGTAGTATAACATAAAACCTTAGCTAATAATCCATATTTTAATAGTATACAAGTTTTAAGTTCTTAATTCTACAATGCAATATTTTAGAAAAATCCTGAATTTCCACTTGTGTGACCCATGTGACACATTTTCTCTTAGCATATCATCATCCCTAGTCCACCACCCATTAACAGTATGAAATTAAATGCAAAATATTCTCTATAACATTGTTATTGCTCAAACAAACCATAATTTTTTATAGCCTTAAATTTTGTTTGGTTACAGAGCTATCAAATAGAAAATCAGACCTCTCCTGCCACACCCTCTCTTTCACAATTCATTGATAGTTCTCTCTTATGTTTCATTATATATATATTACCTATAATCAATAGAAAGTCAAGGTTTTCATCTATCAAATGATGTATTGTGTAACATTGTATTCTGAACAGAATATTGTAAATTTTACTCACAGTATAAGATTCGTTCCTGTGGGAAAGTTAACGACTAGCTTGGATGAGTTTGTAATGGCTCTTGTCACATAATTAGAAAGCCAGTAAAATTTTGAGAGGTAAGTGAATTTGTCTACTTTTTACATGTTATTAGAACATGTTCTTTGGTGCATTATTTAATTAAATAAAACTTATTAAGTGCATTGCTGTCTATAGTATAAAAAATTAAGGTCAACTGTCTTCGAAAACCCAAGAACAAAAAAAAGAAAATTGGGTAAGTACTTTATTTCTTGTTATAAAAGTAACTAAAACCTAAAAGTACGGATCTTTTTAAGTTATTTAATACTAG